TCGGGTTTGTGGTCATGTTAAAAGGGCTCATTTGGTTTGGGTTTGTGGTCATGTTGAGAGGGCCCATCTGGGATGGGTTTGTAGTAATATTAAGAGGGCCTGTCTGGGTAAGGCTGGTGGTCATGTTGAGAGGACCCATCTGGGTTGGGTTTGTGGTCATGTTAAAAGGGCTCATTTGGTTCTGGTTTGTGGTCATGTTGAGAGGGCCCATCTGGGATGGGTTTGTAGTAATATTAAGAGGGCCTGTCTGGGTAAGGCTGGTGGTCATGTTGAGAGGACCCATCTGGGTTGGGTTTGTGGTCATGTTGAGAGGTCCTATCTGAATCGGGTTTGTGGTCATGTTAAAATGGCTGATAGGGTTCGGGTTTGTGGTCATGTTAAGAGGGCCCGTCTGGGTAAGGTTCGGGGTTATGTTGGGAGGTCCTGTTTGAGTCAAATTTGTGGTTATGTTGAAGGGACCGACCTGGTTTAGGTTGGTGGTCATGCTGGGTGGGTGCGTCTGGGTCAGGTTGGTGGTCATGTTGGCAGGCTGTGTTTGGGTCAGGTTGGGGGTCAGGTTGGTGGTCATGTTAAGAGGGCCCAACTGGGTTGGGTTTGTGGTCATATTAAAAGGGACCATCTGATTTGGAGCTGTGGTCATGTTGAGAAGGCTCATCTGGCTATGGTTTGTGGTCATGTTGGGAGGGCGTGTTTGGGTCAGGTTGGTGGTCATGTTGAGAGGGCCCACCTGGGTCGGGTTTGTGGTCAGGTGTGTGGTCATGTTGAGAGGGCCCATCTGGGTTGGGTTTGTGGTCATGTTAAAAGGGCTCATTTGGTTTGGGTTTGTGGTCATGTTAAAAGGGCTCATTTGGTTCTGGTTTGTGGTCATGTTGAGAGGGCCCATCTGGGATGGGTTTGTAGTAATATTAAGAGGGCCTGTCTGGGTAAGGCTGGTGGTCATGTTGAGAGGACCCATCTGGGTTGGGTTTGTGGTCATGTTGAGAGGTCCTATCTGAATCGGGTTTGTGGTCATGTTAAAATGGCTGATAGGGTTCGAGATTGTGGTCATGTTAAGAGGGCCCGTCTGGGTAAGGTTCGGGGTTATGTTGGGAGGTCCGCTTTGAGTCAAATTTGTGGTTATGTTGAAGGGACCGACCTGGTTTAGGTTGGTGGTCATGCTGGGTGGGTGCGTCTGGGTCAGGTTGGTGGTCATGTTGGGAGGCTGTGTTTGGGTCAGGTTGGGGGTCAGGTTGGTGGTCATGTTAAGAGGGCCCAACTGGGTTGGGTTTGTGGTCATATTAAAAGGGACCATCTGATTTGGAGCTGTGGTCATGTTGAGAAGGCTCATCTGGCTATGGTTTGTGGTCATGTTGGGAGGGCGTGTTTGGGTCAGGTTGGTGGTCATGTTGAAGGGACCGACCTGGTTTAGGTTGGTGGTCATGCTGGGTGGGTGCGTCTGGGTCAGGTTGGTGGTCATGTTGGGTGGTAGAGTCTGGATCAGGTTGGTGGTCATGTTAGAAGATATCCAGCTGCCTGTAGAGTTGCTACTGCTTGTTGTATTGTTCCCATTGACTCCAAGCATCATGCATGCTATCCCCAGGATAGCCACATGGATCCATTTACTCCTCATCAGTGATATTTTTGTGCTTATATATCTGTTAATATTGCACTTTTTTTACCTATAATTAAAAAATAAAAGCTTGTATAATCAACAAAAAATAAGCATTTTGGACATTTTAAAATAGATTTTAAAAACCATTAACAAAAGGCAGAATTTATCTGAAAGACTTTGGGCCCTATCATACACCCAATGCAGTGTGGCGTCAGGCGAGACACAAGTGTTTTCAGCCCGACGCAGTGATCATTTTCACGTCCTGCACCACGTTGTTTAAATAGTAAATGCATTTGTGCCCATTTGAGCACTCATGGGCATGCTGGTCTGAAAACGAGGTGTGTTCAGGAGCATTGTTGTCGTGTTGCTATTTTGAGGCAACTAAAATAGACTGCCTAACTAAAACCTGGTCTAAAGTCAATGGTGCAGTAGTTTTTTTTTTTGTTATTTAAAGAGCGTGTTAGTATAGGTGGGTCCACAGAGCACGTACAATCTACTTATTACACACACAGGGATGCACAGCAGCACACAAGCATGCCAAATATAAAAAATTTAAAGGATTACAATGTAAAAGATTATTATTGTGTAGGCTACATAAATATAAAAATGCCTACATGTCATAATGGATAGTCATTGCATGCATCAGAATTAGGCTACCTATTTGTTCATGAACGAGCAGCTCCGTTTCCTCTCTGTCTTTGCGCTTGCAAATTCCACAGTGTAAATAGCAAATCTGCCATGGCACTAGCGCAACTGGCTCTTAAAGAGAATGGGAGATGAGACTCTGATTGGTTTATTGCACGTTATGTCCAAAACACACCCCTTTAGGCGCCAGGGATTTTTGGAAAAATGCTGGATTTTGACATCAAGATTTCAAAAGCTTGTGGCTTGAAAGGGCTTAAAGATAGAGATCTACTGTAAATTAGAAAAAAATATTGGGCATGACTGAAAGTTTATGTGGGGTGTAAATATACTCATCTAATTTGCATATTATGACGTCATCAGGGGCGGCTATCTTGAATTTCATAATATTCAGGAAATAGTAGATCAAATTTTTTTTTTGGTCTTTTATCCTCATTCCAAATGATCAGAAAAGAGGAAACCAAC